CAGACTGTCATTTGATTCTGATTACTACAACTAGGGCCCGGAAACTCAGTCTTTTGCAAGGATGACACAAGATCCCTCACCACAAAGGGAGTTTCCTCCAAAGAACTATTTCCCAGATTTCATGTCATTTGAAGACCTCATGATAGCTTGGAAAGAGAAAGAAGAACAAAGCTTCCAAATCTTTACAATTAAATTAAACAAACTCCATCGGGAGATAGATTTCCTTCCTTATCGCTGGTTTACTGTACAGAAGGAAGCATTTTCTAGAGGTCAGTGCAGACTAGGGAGTCAGGAGACCTGAATTCTATTCCTGGCTTTGCTACTGACTTTCTCTGTGACCTTGGGCAATTTGTTTCACTTCTCCATGCCCCCGTCTGTTAAACGGCTATAATGAAGTGTACCCATCTTTGTCAAATGCTTTGAGATCTAAGATGAAAGTCTGATATAATGTGCAATATTAAATGCATTGCATGTTTATTTTATAGGGTGTTGGCCATTTGATTTCTAGAAGTACCTGAAAATTAGGCAGGCTTGAAAACGCCCAGTTATCCTTGTTTACCAGTTACATAGAGTAATACCTGTCAACCAGGATGGGCCCAATCCTGCTATGTTGAGCCTCCTCAATGCCCATGAAAGTCAGGGTTGACATGGTGGAACGCCACTTCTGAGCCCAGGAAACAAGCACAGACTGGTGGGACCGCATAGTTATGCAGGTATGGGATGAGGAGCAGTGGCTGCATAACTTTCAAATGCGTAAGGCCACTTTCACAGAACTTTGCAAATTGCTTTCCCCAGCCCTGAAGCAGAAATACCAAAATGAGACCTGCTCTGACAGTTGAGAAGCGAGTGGCGATAGCCCTGTGGAAGCTTGCAATGCCAGATTGCTACGGTCAGTTGGGAATCAGTTTGCAGTGGGTAAATCTACTGTGGAGGCTGCTTTGATCCAAGTAGCCAGGGCAATCAATTCACTTCTGCTAAGAAGGGTAGTGACTCAGGGAAATGTGCAGGACATAGTGGATGGCTTTGCCGCAATGAGGTTCCCTAACTGTGATGGGGCGATAGACGGAACGCATATCCCTATCTTGGCACCGGACCACCTTGCCAAAGAGTACATAAACTGCAAGGGGTACTTCTCAATCATGTTGCAAGCACTAGTGGATCACAAGGGCCACTTCACTGACATCAATGTGGGATGGTCCGGAAAGGTACATGACACGCGCATCTGTAGAAACTCCAGTCTCTTCATAAAGTTGCAAGAAGGAACTTCCCAGACCGGAAAATTACCGTTGGTGACACTGAAATGCCGATAGTTATCCTTGGAGACCCTAGCCTATCCCTTGCTCCCATGGCTCATGCAGCTTGGACAGCAGTAAGGAGCAGTTCAACCATAGGCTGAGCAAGTGCAGAATGGTAGTAGCATGTGCCTTTGGACATTTAAAGGGGCACTGGTGCAATTTACTCACTAGGTTAGACCTCAGCAAAAGCAATATTCCCATTGTTGTTGCTGCTTGCTGTGTGCTCCATAATATCTGTGGGCAGGTCTTCACTACGGAGGGGGCGGGGGGGTCGATTTAAGATACGCAAATTCAGCTACATGAATAGCATAGCTGAATTCGACGTATCGCAGCCGACTTACCCCGCTGTAGGGACGGCGGCAAAATCGACCTCTGCGGCTTCCCGTCGACGGCGCTTACTCCCACCTCTGCTGGTGGAGTAAGAGCGTCGATTCGGGGATTGATTGTCGCGTCCCAACAGGGATCGATTGTCGCGTCCCAACGGGACGCGATAAATCGATCCCCGGGAGGTCGATTTCTACCTGCCGATTCAGGCGGGTTGTGTAGACCTAGCCTTAGAGAGTAAGGGGGAAAAGTTTCTGACGGTGTGGGGGATTGAGGCAGATTGCCTGGCTGCCAGTTATGAGTAACCAGACACCAGGGCAATAAGAAGAGCACATCGAAGCACACTGCGTCTCTGACAGGCTTTGAAAACCAGTTTAATAAATGCCCCCTTTTTTGCATGTACTGCCCTATAAACTAAACTCCCACCAACCACAATGTGCACAGTAAATAAAGAGCTTCTTGTCCTCAATCCATGCATTTTTATTATGCTAACAAACACTGAACAGAGACAGCAATGAATAGCAAAGATAACCCGTGTCTAAGGGCCTGATAACACAGGGGGAGGGGCAAGGGCATGTAGCTTATTACAATTGCACTGTCTAGCAATCAAAGCTGTGGGAATGAGAGCCTTCTGCTCCATGAACCATCCCCTGGAGTTGAGTTCAAGTGATAATGGAGCTTTCCCCCCACCCCCCACATTCTAGGACAGAGGTGGGCAAACTATGGCCTGCAGGCCACATCCAGCCCACGGGACCGTCCTGCCCCTGCGCTCCTGGCCCGGGGGGCTAGCCCCTCCCCTGCTGTTCCCCCTCCCCCGCAGCCTCAGCTCAGTGTGCCGCAGGCGCAAGGCTCTGGGCAGCGGGGCTGTGAGCTCCTGGGGTAGCGCAGCTGCAGAGCCTAGCCTGACCTGGTGCTCTGTGCTGTCTGGTGCCATGGCTGGCTCCAGCCGGGCAGCACGGCTGGCTGCCTGTCCTGGTGCAGCTACGCTGCCAGGCACCAGTGCTCCAGGCAGAGCAGTAAGGGGGCAGGGAACAGTGGAGGGGGATTGGATAGAGGGCAGAGGAGTGGTCAGGGGCCGGGCATGTGGATGGGGTGGGGGCGGTCAGAGGGCGGGGAACAGGGGGGTTGAATGGGGGCGGAGGTTCCGGGGGCAGTCAGGGAGAAGGGGTGGTTAGATGGGGCAGGGATCCCAGGGGGGCAGTCAGGAAGGAGGGGGGGGTTGATGGGGCAGCAGGAGGGCAGTTAGGGGCGGGAGGTCTGGAGGCGGTCAGGGGACAGACAGCAGGGGGGGTGGATGGGGCAGGGTCCCGGGGGGGGCTGCCAGGGGCGAGAAGCAGGGGGGTCAGATGGGGTGGGCCCGGGCCATCACAGCTTCCCCTAACCGGCCCTCCATACAATTTCTGAAACCCGAGGCGGCCCTCAGGCCAAAAAGTTTGTCCACCTCTTTTCTAGGACATCTGGGAGAGGAGGATATGGAACTTGGTGAGGACGGCAGCTGGTTCATCACTGGGTGCAGTGGGACTCTAAGGTCTAGCTGCCTTTCCTGCACCTCAACCAGACACCTCAACATGTCTGTTTGCTGCCCCATAAGCCACAGCATCTCCTCTGGCATGTTACGCTCTTGTTCCCTGCATGCTTTCCTGCCCTCTTGGCCGTGCATTCAGATGGGCCCTGTCAGTCTCGGAGGAACACATCAAATCACAGAACATATCTTCCCTTGTCTGCTTTTTTCGCCTTCTAATCTGGGACAGCCTTTGTGGTGGTGTGGAGGAAGCACCCACAGACAAGGTTGCAACTGCAAGGAAACAAAAACCACAAGAGTAGCCAGTTGTTTACCTCGGATTAAACATTAAACACAATTGCATTTAATCCCTGTAATGTGATTACAAGTGTGCACTCACCAGAGGTGCCCTCCCCGCCTTCACGGTCCCCTAACAGTAGGTCCTGGGAGGAGATTTGCTCCAGAGTTAGGAGAAGGTCCTGGCTGTTGGGGAGAATGGATTCTCCGCTTGCCTGCTGTGCATTCTCCTCATCATCATCAACAATGTCCTCCTCGTTGTTGCCTGTGGCCGCCTGAGGCCCCTGGGAGGTATCATAGAATCATAAAATATCAGGGTTGGAAGGGACCTCAGGAGGTCATCTAGTCCAACCCCCTGCTCAAAGCAGGACCAATTCCCAACTAAATCATCCCAGCCAGGGCTTCGTCAAGCCTGACCTTAAAAACCTTTAAGGAAGGAGATTCCACCACCTCCCTAGGTAACCCATTCCAGTACTTCACCACCCTCCTAGTGAAAAAGTTTTTCCTAATATCCAACCTAAACCTCCCGCACTGCAACTTGTTCTGTCATCTGGTACCACTGAGAACAGTCTAGATCCATCCTCTTTGGAACCCCCTTTCAGGTAGTTGAAAGCAGCTATCAAATCCCCCCTCATTCTTGTCTTCTGCAGACTAAACAATCCCAGTTCCCTTAGCCTCTCCTCATAAATCATGTGGTCCAGCCCCCTAGTCATTTTTGTTGCCCTCCGCTGGACTATTTCCAATTTTTCCACATCCTTGTAGTGTGGGGCCCAAAACTGGACACAGTACTCCAGATGAGGCCTCACCAATGTCGAATAGAGGGGAATGATAACATCCCTTGATCTGCTGGCAATGCCCCTACTTATACAGCCCAAAATGCTGTTAGCCTTCTTGGCAACAAGGGCACACTGTTGACTCATATCTAGTTTCTCATCCACTGTAACCCCTAGGTCCTTTTCTGCAGAACTGCTGCCTAGCCATTTGGTCCCTAGTCTGTAGCAGTGCATGGGATTCTTCCGTCCTAAGTGCAGGACTCTGCACTTGTCCTTGTTGAACCTCATCAGGTTTCTTTTGGCCCAATCCTCTAATTTGTCTAGGAGAGTGTTGGGGTATTGGTAGAGTCCCTGGCTAGAATCACATGTAGCTGCTCATGGAAGCAGCATGTCTGTGGCTTGGAACCAGAGCAACTGTTCTCCTCCCTTGTCTTCTGGTACGCTTGCCTGAGCTCCTTTATTTTCACGTGGCACTGCTGTGTGTCCCTGGTGTAGCCTTTGTCCCCCATGCCCTGTGCGATTTTGGCATAGATGTCAGTGTTTCTTCTGCTGGTTTGGAGCTCTGCCTGTGCATATTCTTCTCCCCACACAACAATCAGATCCAGTGTTTCCTGTAAGCTCCATGCTGGAGTGCGTTTGTAGTCCTGGGCTGGTATGGTCAGCTGTGCTGGTGAGCTCTCCACACTCATCAAACAGGAAATGAAATTCAAAAGTTCTCCTGGATGAAGTGCAATGGAGTTGAAAGTGCTGTCCAGAGCAGTCACATTGGAGCACTCTGGGATACCTCCTGGAGGCTAATCCCATCAGATTACAGTGTTGTGTCTACACTACTCCTAATTCGACCCAGGAAGGTCAACTCTAGCACTTCTCCTCTCCCTGAGGTGGAGTACAGGCATTGATTTTACAAGCCCTTTGGGTTGGCGGAAAGGGCTCAGTAGTGTAGACACGCACATTATAAATTCGACCTAACGCGGCATATGTTGACCTAACGCTGTAGTGTAGACCAGTTTTAAAGTCGATCTTGTTTGCTTGCTTGAGCCAGACCCCTCCCGGAGGCAGGTCAGTGTCGCTGTAAGGAGCTCTGCTCTCTCTCTCTCCCTTCCCTCCAGCCTGGGATCACTCACTGGAGGAAAACAGTATTCCCCCTCCCCCCTTCAATCCCGTGGCCAAATCTCTCTGCCGTTTTGGGCTTCAACTCTGCCAGGATTCAGAGCAGGAGGAAATAGGGAACTGCCGGGAGTCTGGGGATATCCTAAAGAGACAGGGGACCGGGGGCGTTACAATGGAAAGTGACGCAGAGGGGAGCCGAGAGGGAGAATGAAGTAAATTAACCAAGGGGGGAAGGGGAAAACCACTTCCTTTTTGCTCCATCTTCATTGTTCAAAGCGGCGCCTTCTGCGAATTCTGTATTTCCTGTCCCTGAAATCCTGTGAGGCCGGAGCTGAACGGCCCCTGAGCACGGCCGCAGTGGGCAGTTGGCAAAGCGCAGCTCAGGTACGTGCCGAGGGGTCACTCGACGCGGCGGGTCGCGGCTCCCCTCAGTCCTGTGCGCGGGAGCGGGGCTGTTTATTGCAGAGCCCTGCGCGGCTCCCGGAGCTGGCGTGGGGCGGAGGCGGCTGTCTGGCCGCTGGCTTGAGAGGAACGCCACGAGCGGGGATCCCCCAGCTCCGCATCCCCTGCCTGGTGCTGCCCTGGGTCCGAGCTCCGCAGCAGGGGCGGCGGGACGGCCAGTTCCTCCAGGGGATGGCGAGCTGCCTTTGAAGGGACTCGGGGAGAATGGCGTTCAAGCGGCTCCAGAAGCCTTAGGCGTGCGGTTCCCTGGGCCCCCGTTGCTGCTTGGAAGATGCATGGGGAGTAGGGTGACCAGACAGCAAGTGTGAAAAATCGGGAAGAGTGTGCGGGGTAATAGGCTGGGAGGCTTACTGTCTTGGGCTGCGTAGACATACCTTTCATATTCTATGTGAGTATCTGGTTTTGTCAACATCACAGTGAGCCTCAGCGCTTGCCTTGATGTTGCAATGTTTGCTGTGACCTCCCAGCATGGATCAATGCAGTGTCAGGCTGTGGTTTGCACGTAGACGTGGGCTGCAGAAAGAGCTGGAGTCCTTGACTTGCTCTGCCTTCCTCTTGCAAATCCCACTGACCTTTAACCAATGAAGCCTCCCAGGATGCTGTGAAGCAGGCCATTGTCCTTATCCCTCATGTACAAATTGGGAGGGAGGGAAAGTCTCTCGCTCAAGGTCCCGCAGTCTGTGGAAGCTGCCAATAGAATGTCTGCTCCCAGGCCTGTGTATGATGTCACCTGGTTTAGAAGTTATCATAGGTGCCACCTGACCATGCATCTAGACTGAGTGGGTGGGGAGGAACTGGGCCCACCCACAGGGCCGGCTTTAGGACCTGCAGGGCCCGATTCGAATACCCGGCAGCGGTCCGGGTCTTCGGCGGCACTTCGGCGGCGGGGGGTCCTTCACTCAGCTCCAGGTCTTCTGCGGCACTGAAGGACCCCACCACCACCGAAGTGCCGCCGAAGACCCGGAGTGGACCGCCGCCGGGTGAGTAAAAAAAAATTAAAAAATTAAAAAGGTGCCTAAGGCGTGGGGCCTGATTCCGGGGAATCGGGGGAATCGGCCTAAAGCCGGCCCTACCCACCACTACTCCAGGTCCCAGCCCAGGGACCCTGTAGATCAAAGCCATCTGCTGTGTCCCTTTAACTATAGGTATGTCTACACTACGAAATTAGGTCAAATTTATAGAAGTCGATTTTTTAGGAAGCCATTTTATACAGTCGATTGTGTGTGTCCCCACTAAGCGCATTAAGTCAGCAGAGTGCGTCCACAGTACCAAGGCTACCGTCGACCTTTGGAGCGTTGCACTGTGGGTGGCTATCCCACAGTTCCCGCAGTCTCCGCCACCCATTGGAATTCTGGGTTGAGCTCCCACTGCCTGATGGGGTAAAAACATTGTCGTGGGTGGTTTTGGGTACATGTCGTCAGTCGCCCTTCCCTTCGTGAGAGCAACGGCAGACAATCGTTTCGTGCCTTTTTTCCACGCAGACGCCATGCCACGGCAAGCGTGCAGCCTGCTCAGCTCAGCTGCCGCTGTTGTGTCCTGGGTGTTGCAGGAGTCCACGTACAGGGGTGGGGTAGTTGTAAGGGCACCCCCTAAAATTGCATACAGCTCATGACAGAAGTGGCATGTTCGGGGTTCTGACTCGGAGCAGCCGATTGCCTCTTTGTTTTTTTGGTAGGCTTGCCTGAGCTCCTTAAGTTTCACACAGCACTGCTGTGGGTCCCTGTTATAGCCTCTGTCCTTCATGCCCTTGGAGATTTTTTCAAATATTTTGGCATTTCGTCTTTTGGAACGAGTTCTGATAGCATGGATTCGTCTCCCCATACAGCCAGGCGCGGCAGGGGAGGGCGGCGAGCCCGCCGCGGCTCCGCTCTCCCCGGTGGCCAGAGCGCCGGGAGGAGGGCGGAGAGCCCCCGGCGGCCAGAGC